GAGAGAGAATGAGAGAGAGAGAGAGAGAGAGAGAGTTTGCTCATAAGTAAGTGGATGAAGTGTGTTAAATATATTGGTTGATTTCATATCGTGTTTTATGTTGACAATTACTGAAAAATATAGTCTGAATGTATCACGGAATAAGATTCTAGATTGCTATCTAGTCCGTGTCAGTTTGTTTCCTTCTGATTAATTATGAAGTCAGCAACATGCATATGCACGGTAGTTTACAGAGCAAAAAAATAAAGTATTTGCTTCCTTATAGACCAAATGAATAACGTGTTTGTTAAAAAGGGTGTGACTAGTTAGTTGAACAAAGGCTAATAACAATACCTAAAACGCCCCGTGGTCAGTTTATAAAGTATTCAATACCAAGAATGTATCGGTCGATATGCACGTATGTCCTACCACATATGTTTTGGATGCAAATGTTTTTTTGTGATATCACACACATGTCCGTGCACGTGTGATAACACACACGTGCACTATCACGAACGATGACACGTGTACGCGTTCGCGCAAGTAGGTGTGGTACTACATATGTGTAATGATGCATGTGATGAACACGTGTGATCAGACATATTTGTCCTGATCCAAGGGCGGAAATGCACGTCCAGACTGGGATTCGAACCCAGGACCCACAGAACTCTAGACGGGCGTTCTATACCAATTTAGCTACACTGTACATGGTCGCTACAGTCCTGACAAGTATGGTAATGCACATGTACCCAAGTACATATACCCTTATACGTGTGAAGATACACATGTGCGCTTGCATTAAGATACACACGTGTACTCACATTAGTGTTGATGTACGTATATTGCCCCACGTGAAATGGCACAGGATAGTTCACCCATTTACAGTGACATGTACCAATACGTTTATCAATCGGGTATGACAGCACAGACAAATGATGACACACACCGTCTGACAGTCATTAGCGAGTACACATATACGTATATATACTAGCTATATAGAGTTCAATCATTTAACTGTTTTTACCTGTACTCACCTTTGATTATCACGTGTTCACTACACCCATCAGCCGTTCTCCATGGTTTCACTTTATAATAAATGATATTCTTGTCAAACAAAATCCATGAAATTCTGTAGTTCATTTTTCTTTCCTGGTGTGAATGTTATCGTCACCACAATGTCCATATTTACACCTGATGTGTACACACGCGTGGCCCCTGAGAGACAGGTATATACCACAGGTAAGTGTGTATACGTATCGGTACAGGTAACACTACAGGATTTGCCCTGCTTAGTATAAGCCACCAATCAACGCAACAAATCGTTTATAGGTACAGAACAACTGAAACGATACCTACTCGCCCACGTAAGTCACGGCAGGTAACTTTATTGTGTTACACCTGTCTACAATATACAACCCCAGTTCCACAAAGATTCATCTACTTAAGGAAATGCATCTTACTTCAGTTTTTTCACCATTGGAAGACATTGCTGAAGTCACAATGTATAGAAATCTATCTTCAGTGGGAGTATACCCTTTAGCGATGTTGTCCAGGAACGTTAATAAGACTGGCGCCAGATGCGAATTTGATGATGTGAATCAACACTCGTTAATTATATACATATAGTTATACTGAGCAATTCTGAGATATTCAATACCCCATGAAAAAGATTTTCTTTAAAGTACCATAATCGTTAACTAGTACCATAATCGTTAACTAGTACCATAATCGTTAACTAGTACCATACTCGTTAACTGAGCTGATGTAAGACCTTAAGTCCGTGCTATCTCACGGTAAGAATTACACAGTATTAATTATATTGAACTATAACCAGGGTCGTAGAATATGTAAGTTTGACAGATAAGGGTCAGTCTCACTTCCGGGTAATACAACATCTGTCCTGGGGCACGTAGTGAATAGTGACGTCACTAATCAGCATGGAACATGCTTTAAAGACAACCAGTTTTTTAAGACTAATTGCCTATTAAGACCACCTGTCTATAAAGACCAACTGTATATGAAGACCACCTGTCTATAAATTCCAACTATCTATTAAGACCAACTGACTATTGAGACACCAGTATATAAGACCAACTGTTTATTAAGACCAACCGTCTGTAAACACCACCTGTCTATTAAGACCAACCGTCTGTAAACACCACCTGTCTATAAACACCACATGTCTATTAAGACCAACTGTCTACTAAGACCACCTGACGATTAAGACCACCCGTCTATAAACACCACCTGTATATTAAGACCAGCAGTCTATAAAGAACATCTGTCTATAAAGAACAACTGTCTACTAAGACCAACTGTCTATGAAGACAATCAGTCAGTTGTAACCTCCTTTCTATAAAGAAAATCTGTAAATTAAGATGTCCTTTCAATTATACTTTAGACCAACAGTCTATGAAGACCAACTGCCAAAAAAACATGTCTGTAAAGACAACCTTCCTATTTAGGTATTTTTTCCTTTTTCATGAGCGATCTTTTCAACAGGATCCGGTATTTGAGTAGACGGAGGAAAAGTTAAGTTGACTCCGGATATTTGTGTTTCTATTCCTGTCTGCTATATTTATAATATGTTGACTGACGAATGTAACAAAACATAGTTGAGTTTTTTCTTATCTGTTTCGTTCAACCTCTTCAGTGTTCAGATAACACGTACGCATTTACTTCAAATAAAGACGTGTGTCGGTGTTAGTTCTACTCATTAATGTCGTTGAGTGTATATCATCTTTATTCCACAAAAGCTTGTTTAATGATTTATTACATTGTCCGCCATTGTATGTTTGTTATTTTCGGCAATCATTCTTATGTAATTATTGTATCTTACCAATGTTGATATTAACAACGTCTTATAAATGCTACATTATGGAGCGAAAATGCGTCTAACTCTACATATGTATTATACACTATTCTGCTGTCCTACAACCATGCATGGCGAACGATTTAAATGTAAGACTTTATTGAAAATATTCATCTTGTTCAAACCAGATCGCTGCACAATAAGTCTGTGGCCTTAGTTAAGTCTTATATGTGAAAGAGAACAGGCCTCCAAAAATAGTTTTAGTTCAACGCTACATGTTTTACATAGCTCAGCAGAGTTATCTCCCTTAAATATTTTTTCATTTGCAGACTCTTATATGATCGCGGATGTATTGAAATAAAAAATATTAGTTTCAGCACATATATGGAATTAAAAATATTATAAAAGGTTAATGTCTCTATAATTCTAATGGTTCTTTTTTCGTAACGTGAAAAATGGATCATATATGGTTTATTAGATTGTTTCTTTATATTTTCTACAAATATTCCTCGTGAAGACACATAATTATAATCTGAAAAAGGAGAGGCTACGGGTTTTAACAGGATCACTAGCTTAAATATTATTCAAATGATATTAGTGAGCATGTACAATTAATATACATAGACTATATAGGTCAAGTTAAAAAATGTTTAAATCCGTACATAGATAAATGACGCAATGCGCTCTGTTTGGTCTACCTGTTTTCTCACAAATACTTAATCAAATATGACCCAAAATTCTGATGAAACATTGTCGAAATAATATTATAACAAGAGGCCTAAGGCATCTTTAAGCTCACATGTGATTTATTAACTGATTATATGGCGACAAGATTATCAGACAATGCGAGTCACTACTACTAGGACACTTCAAAATGATGTTTACAACATTCTGATCATGCTCAAACTTCAACATAGATTTCCAAGATGACTGCCATAGTGGCCATATTGGATTTCAAATCGGTTTCAAAGTAATAGTACTTTACGAATCAGGAACACGTGAAATGGCTTCCCTAGAATATGCCTGCTCAGTTTGGGACCCTTATACTAGAACAGACATAAACAAAATAGAAATGGTGCAGCGTAGAGCAGCCAGATAAATCACCAAAAAATTTAGAAACACCTCCAGTGTTGGTGACATGCTTCAACACCTTAACTGGCAATCACTTGAAGACAGAAGGAGAGTCATGCGACTGACAACACTACACAAATCTATACACGACAAAGTCAATATAAGAAAAGACCAACTGATACGCATACCTCCATCCCGCCACACAAGACATGCACACCAGAACTCATATCAAACACTCTCATGTAGAACACAGGTACGACAACAATCCGTTTTCCCTCGTACCATAGTAGACTGGAATAACCTGCCTCCAGATATAACCTCCATTACCTCTTCTGACTGCTTCAAACTGTCCCTAAACAAAAAACAATTCTAACTCCCACACTTTATAAATATTCCCTTTCACTATCTTTTCTTCTCTTGGCCTAGCAACCACTATCACATGACATGATCTTCAAATAGATGAAGGTGGTCATTACTATGTAGATGTAGAGTAGAATTTAAGTTTTTTCAAAATGCAACTAGGTTTTCAAAATGCTGTCATAGCTGCCATATTGGAATTCGAATCTTCGAAACAACAATCATACGTAATTTTATCAAATATGCCCGCGGATTCTGATCGACTTTAGTCATTAGTCTTATTAATCTGAATCAAAGACTTCAAATTCAAAGTAGAACAAAATCTGTTCTCGTTTTCTTTGTTTGTCGCTTTCCCTCATAAGTAAATATTTGTTTCTTGAAGGTATACCAAGGGAGGTAATCGTTATATGTCCCACGATCTCGCCATTCAAAGAGATCAATAAATTGAATATGAATGTAATTGTGGGGAGTTTTTTTCTCTCATTCAAACTATTCAAAGCAATCAACATTATAAAACATGCTGTTACTGTTTATCTACAGAAGGGTTTATTTAGTGTTTTTTTATACGGAGATACCCATTTCCAAATATTTACCGACGCCTGATACAGCACACTTCCTTAGTTTCGGGCAATACCATTACACCAAAGAACTAGATTACACCAACGATTCCCACTAACCTTCCTGCGATACTGTCTCAGATCTAGAATGAACGCTGATTATGGTTTGAATTAATTATGTGACTACTACGTATTCTAGAAATCATACAGAAAACAACACAGTAGGATCATTTACCTTTCATTTATTCACCATATTTCCAGGGAAATCTTTTACAACAATGGAAATCTATCATAACACTCATAATCTCTCAGTCATCCATGCTTTCAAAATGATGGGGGAAACACCATTACAGGGAAGAAAAATAAATGAAAGTAAAGTCACTCATTATAGCACATATTAACCATCATAATCAAACCATAAATAACACAATAATTGTGAACACCTTATTTTTACAAACATCAAGGCTTGAACAGCTGAAAAAAAAAAAAAAGACAATTTTATATCAAAAATATTCTGAAACCTTTGTCTTATTAGCCTGAATATGAATCTTTTAATCAAAATTGCCAGAAAATAGAAAGAAAAAACAAAATTGCAATGTGTCAAACATTTGGAATAACTTCAATTTTTTTTATTTAAGGACTTTTTTAAATCAATGAAGCTTTGGATTAAGGCTCCACCTCCCTTCTGAGACTTGACAGAAAACCATTGTTAATTACAAAATGGTCGCCAAAGGTTACTAATGCTATTTCTCGTCCAATACATGCAATGTATACATTTATATTTCACTTGTACTGTTCATACACCTTGCCTACGCATGTAATGAGTTTCTCACTTTGATGCAAATTGGTAAACAAGAGAAACAGGTTATCATACTGACTTTGATACTGTTGTGAATTACACGTTACCACATACCTACACACCCACACACCAGGATATCTCATACATGAAAGGGATGTTGTGTATTAGTTTCAAAATGTATTTTCCCATAAAACCCAGGGCTGTTTTTTAATTAATAGGACTAAATTTAATCGATAACAAAAAAAATAGACATTCATGTAACCAAAGTGATACTACTTAATTAAACAAGTTCATGCAAGGTCATGTCACTAGATTATATATAAAATAGATGACAACAAAAACGGAATTTCGTACTTAAAACCACATTACAATAGGAAAAGCTGGTTTTATAGACAGCTGTACGTCTGGGATTTATTTTAACAGCAATGATGACCTGCTTGGTCTCTTTCAAAATCATCTAGTCTCTGTTCATTACAATCAGCCACAAATACATCCATATCGCATAATTAAAACATTATTTTCTCACTCGCGCTCTCTCTAACCTCGAAATCAACATATTGACTAAATCTATGTTATAAAGCATTAAACACCCTGCCAACAGTTAAGTGAACTTATTACCTTTCCTTCAAAAATCTTACACTTTTCAATATGCATGTTCACTTATTCTTACCCTAAAATATACAACTCTTTTTTTTTAAACAAGGAAAACAGGCAATTGTGTTCACTGGCGTAAACATGATTCAAAAAAAGTCCGAAAATCATTCCAGCAGCACTTGGAAAAGACAACAAAAATTTAAATGAAATGTTTTGGGGAATATAAAATAATTTTAGTGTCTCTGGTTCTCCAAGAAAAAATATGATGAAATTAATTGTTTTTTCAGAGGCTTTTAAATAGCATATTAAAAATTGCATATTTAGTTCTTTCCAATAGCATCTTATGTCAATTGCTGAGCATTTGTGGAACTGACTACATAGAATTCAATACAAACTCAACTGCTCAATTTGTTCAAATATGAAACGATACCAAGCCAAAATGAAGGAGATTTGGGACTATTAACCAAATTATAAAATGGCATTGGTGCAACCACTATTTTTTAAAATAGCTTACAAAAATGTACAATGTTCAGTCAAAGATAAACGCATCAATAGGTCTTTTTAATGCAAAAGTTTTCCAAACGAAAAATTTGCAACACCAAAATGGCCAAACATTCATTATAAGATGTTGAAAACAGAAAAGGCATTCCTGAAAGCATATTTAACAAAAGAGGCTGACCACTTTTAACAGGGAATCATCCTCGTTAAAATAAGTGACTATCATCTGTGTACATTAAATACTGGTACAATGTACATGTATAACCATGTACATTCTCTGTAGGCCTTCTTATAACAAATTGAGTATGGCAGTGGTTTTAGTATAGGCACATTAAAATAGGATTAGGTTTTTTTCAAGCATGCTTTTGTTCTTGAAATTAGAAAAAAAATCCCTAAAATCAGTAGAATAACAGAGGTATTGCCTTAGGTCGTGGATAATAAAATGTTTGCAGGCAGAAAAATTCCCCGGTTGTGAAATTAGACCAATGACTATTAAGATTTTGCTTGAAGTTAAAACAAAGTCTGACATTACAATATGTTTTGCTACATCTTGGGTTATCCAAATATTGTAAAAAGTATCGTAAGGGGCTTAAATTTCTTTATTTTGAAAACATACCACCTTGTAGGTATGATTCTCCATCAAAAACTGGTTGACCTCTTTAATTAATTCTTACTTTAGCAAATAATGGAAGAAATTATTTGAAATCGACATTCATCTAGAATACCATTAAAAATGTTTATCCTAACAATAAATAACAGAAATGTTTATTTTTAGGGAAAATGGAAACACTTTCCCAGAGGGAAGATAGATATCTAAATTAAATCTAAGCATTATTCGATGAGTTTCTTGGCCTTGAAGTATCGTCGTAGATAGAGAACCTGCCATGTGGCTAGGCCGAGGAGACAACACATGGAGAAAATGCTGAAGTACATCACACGCGAGTGGGTGGACTCTGAAACAAACATAAATAATAATGAATAATTTGAGGTTCTTATAAACCGCTTTATCACAACTTAGTTTGTAGGTCGTCTCAAAGGGGTTCACAAATTATTATCCGTGGATATAGGGTCTTTGCAACTAGCCAATATCTTTCTCAACTCCCTGGGGAGCATACAGCTGGGGCTGCCATTTTGACGCTTACAGCTAGCATTCAACAATTCAAGCACTGCCCAACCACATACTCAAATAGAATAAAGTATCAGAGCCGTACCATGACTCGAACCCTCAACCCTTCGGTCACAAGCCCGGCGTCCTACCACTAGACTACCGTGTATCCATAAACAAACAGGTTTGTAAGTTATATTTCTAAGCCTGTAAAACAGACAGAGTAATGAGCTATTATGTTATTCTTATTTCCAAACCAAATAGCCAAGAGATATTAGGTCGTAATTAATGCTGCCTTTCTTCGAGATCAAGGTTAAGCTCAGAGATATGACAATATGACAATAAGACAAAGGAACCACACAAAGCAGGGAAGCAATGTGAATTAATTCAGTTTCTATATTTGTATACAAAGTTATAGAAACTGGATATTTATTCAGCTCAAGAGTTTTGTTGTTTTAATAGGCCAAAATATTGGGAGTCTCCTGCTGAAAATGGGAGAATTGATACACTTTGAAAACTTGTAGGTTTTCACATATATAGTAAATTAGTAATTACTATTCTGAAATCAGAACTACTGAGAAGGGGGGGGGGGGGGGGGGGGGTTATAACAATACACTATGTATACTGATAATAATAATACATAAATGTACTGATATATAATACATAAAATGACTTCAATTTTTTGACAGCTTACCATTTGTATCTCTCATTTCTTTCTCTCTTTCTTTCATGTATTCAAAATCATCAACAATTGATTTTGAGAGGTCCTCAAGTCGCCTCAGTTCCACCTCCAGTGGTTTCAGCTTTTCTGCCTTTGCCAGCTGAGATGTTAAAAAGAAAACAAAACAATGAATATCTTGGAGCCTAGAGCTACATAGTTTTATCGGAGATTTTTTTACACAGCAGAATTTAGAGTCTGTGACATTGGCTTTTTTGACTAGAACTCGAGTTGGTTACTCCATTCGTTTCAACAATTTCCTAATTAAATGATTCTTGGGATGCCAGGTTTAGATTGATTCTGGTTTAAAATCAGCTAGAACAGCTGGAGGTCACAGCATTCAAGAAACAACTACTTAATTTGGACTCAAGAGGTTGAGTGTTTCCGGTAAGGCAAACAAAAATTGATTACTTGATTCTCAGGCCCACGCACATTTCATTTTAGGGCACCGCATTGCCGATTTTATCGTGGAAGTAATCAAAAAACAAAAGGCCCAGGGGGCCTGTATCGCTCACCTGAATATGTTTAAAATAATTGGTATGAAGTAGGTGCTGTAAGTACATATGAAATTTCAGAAAGATCCATACAGCACTTGAGATATAGTGAGAACAAACTTCAAACAGAGCCCCACCCCAAGGGGGGTCATACCCACCAATTATACAAAATTGAGTCACCTTGACCCAAGGATGCTCCAGACTAAATAAGGATAAAATCCCATAATCCTAATGGGCGAAGAAGGATTTAAAAGGTTTTACCTCTATTTCTCCTATTGGGCCCCGCCCTTCTGCCCCTTGGGAGACCACACCCACTGCTTATACAAAATTGAGTCCCCTATTTATATGCGACATCACAGCTCTTCTGCCTGTTTATACTGGTATATGACGTCACAGTACTCGAACATCCCAGCCTAGAGCGACACTTGAGAAGTCTCAAAACTCGGTAAAATGTGGAATTAGTCTGTAACAGGAGGATCATTGTTATCCTATCCACACTTTTCCTTGTGGGAGATATCACTTACGGACTGTATCCAGTAACAACAATTGCCATGACAACAATGCATCGACAAAATGTTCTAAAAATGCATACGTGACAGGGCCAAAAAGCTAAAAGAAATTAATTATTCCACTTCCCTCGGGGATGGAAGACTCAAATGTATCCCTCTGTGAAAACAAGATTGCTGTGTGAGTGATCACTCTCAGAGATGCAGCCCTATGACCATTATGTACTCTCAGTGTGAGGTCATGTGTAAAGCTTTGTACCACTTACATCATCGTAACTTTTGGCCTCGATTCCATGCTTCATATCTAGTGTCACTTCTCTGTCCCCGCCATGTCCACCTGTGAAGAAAAGATATCATATAAATCAGTGAAGAATTGCAGAGGCTGACAATTCAACTAGCTCGATGACATGAGCTGGAAGAATCTGTGGCAGGACTAGTGAAAATGATATTTAGAAACCACAGGCCTTTTTCCACTTTTTTTTTGAAAACTGTTATAATAGACAAAACCCTTTACTTTATATGTGTATGTCAACAGCTTCAACAGAATGTCTTGCTTGCGTGAATATCACAAAATTCAAAACTTTTTGATGCATTCCAGGTAATTGATAAAATATGAGGTGCATGAATATATATTTACAGTAACTGAATATGAGTGGTCTTAACCACATTGAAGGAGTGTAAAGTATATCTTGGTGACTCGATGTAGTAGAATCACTTACCGCCAACCATCTTTGTCTGGAAGCAAACTTCAAACATGTCATATTCTTCTGTTGTAAATGCAAACTTTCCTTTCTTAGCATCATCTTTGGTGTAGAGTATGTGGCCCTTGGAATCGGTAACCTGGTAAACAAAGGGATATCACATATGTAAGGACCAATAACAAAATAAGGTTTAGACAAATTTATGAAGTTATTCTCCATCTTATATATTACTTATAAGTTCATGTTGGTTTGGCTTTAAAATTTAGAAATTTAGAAAATATGGCAGTTAAGAGGTATGCGATACAGTTCATTCTGTGAGAAGCAATCGAGCATACAATAAACGCCTGTGTAACGTTACCTAAATTTGAACTACATGACTGAATGAATCATTTTAATGTTTTAAATGTACACAAGAAGCTGTAAGCACTGCGGATGACTTGATGAGGTTAACTTCAGCTTTCCTTACATCTATGATGGCAAATATAGTATCAGGTCATTTTGCCCCAAACCCACTTTGCCCGGGTCTCTTGCACTAAGTTATTTCCGAATTCGACCTTAATTTATTTTTAGGGCAAAACTGTTTTAAGTCTATTATTTGTATATGGCTAATATGTACAGTCTCATTTGAAGTTTTCCAAGGTTTTCTTTAGTCTTTTTATCAAAAGACTGGTTGGATTTGTATCTGGTTGACCAGATTTGCACAAATTAAACCTGCATGAAATTCTTACGAACAGAATCAATGTTTGTGAGACATAAAAACACTGAACAGTACATATTTTTATAATTAAACCATTTTAACTGATATTTATGACTTAAAAATATGTCACATGAGGATGTTCATGTTTCCAAGCATTAAAACGACACTGTGATATAACAAATCGTTAACAATTATATACATGTTTTGAATTGATCCGCTTGTGGTGTAATATATGGGAATGACATGGATAACTGAGAAGACGTCTACCAAGACTCATCTTACTTAGTTTTAATTATCATCCAATTAACAAAGGGGGATCCATGAAAAAAAATTCAGGCAATGTCTTTAGTTAGTGAGACAATTAAAATTAATCAATTAAACTCACAGTCTCTATAATAAATACTGACCGACAAATTTGATATTGTGAAAAACGTTTTAGTTAAATAAAATTATATCAATCTGTGGCAGAAAAGAAGAAAAATACCCCATATGTGTTTTTTCAGAAAATAAACTTCCAGGGGAGGCAACTATGAGTTCACTATTGCGATTGTACACGTGCACATACACAAGGACATGCAGTCAGGGATTGAAAACAATGAACATGTATTAAGGTTTTGTGATATGATATTGCTAAATTAAACAATTGAAATCAAGATCATTATACGAAACAGTCTGTAGTCCTTGTTTACCGCGAGTGTTGCTTTCTGACCCGGTGCATCTGACAGTTCGTAATCTCCGGTCACCAAGACATCCTTGTGGATCTCCTCTCGTAAACACTTTTTAGAATTTACAGGCAAATGAAACATTAAACAGTCAAATGAATTAAAGCACAAGAAAAATATCACGCATGCTAGCTGTGTCAGATCCATGTTCAATGCTGTTTTCCGTAGCCAACAAGCAAGTAACGCACGTTTGTTAACGTGGCATTCGGTAAACTCCGGCAGCTGTCGGTATTCATATCCGGTTGAAACGGAGAAAATATAAATAAAATAAAATAATTTCTGTTGAGGATTCAAAAAAAAAAAAATGTAAGTGAACTTTGTAAATATCACTGGTAATGAATTAATTAATATTTTATTTCTATTATTTTAGAATTTATATCGTCGGAGAAAATGGTAAACAGAGTCTTTTATGCGTTTGTTTCAAATCTTAATAACGCGATAGTCCTAAGATACTTTTTGACTAGGAAAACATGGCTCGCAAAAGACTCGCAAAGTTTGTACCCTAACATGTTGTGTTAACTTATTTTCATATTTAAGTCACCTGTTGAGTTGATACTATGGCGCGGTATTCGTCTTCCACCAATCCTCATATTTCCCTTCAATGACTGCAAGTTGCAATTGTGTCAGGGAAGGGAAACTGAAACTGTCGGACCTGGATTCGAACCCGGGACCAGAGAATTTGTTACGTCTATGTTTCTGTGTTTTGACCTAAACTAGAGTGTTCACAGTCATTTTACACGCGTTAGGAACAATTTACAGGAACCCAAAATGATGTTTATATGTTTTACGGCACGGCCGTTAGTGAGGGCGGAACGAGTTTGTACTGTAAATGTTCAAGCATTGAGTGGTGTGTTGAATTACTAAATCAGCCCTACATGTATAGCTATATTACAGTGTATATTACAGTTAAGTTTCCTTTCTTGATTTCTTTTTGGCTGACAAGATGGTTGATATCTTGAAGTTTTCCCCCTAGACGTATGATGACATGACATGAATGTGAGAATGCGAAAGGTTCATTAGACTCTATATAAGTATTTAAATTTGCACCTCTTGAATCCATTGCAAAAATCAAGCGCAGCATATTCTACAAAAACATTGAAATAAAACGTATTAGGGTGGATATTGTTAATCATGTATAAAAGCACAGTTATCTGATATCCACGAAAAGATATACATATATATATATATGGGGCAAAGAAGTAATTCCAACGGCAGTGTGGACAAGTTTAGGTTGTCAAATTTTCAGAGCGATCCGCTCCTTTCTCAAGACACAGTGATACGGAACAGTTACATGTACATATAAATCATATTACAAGAAGATAGAACTGATATACTGTAATTGAAAATATAGCTATTATATAAACAAAACAATAGTCCCCTCGGCTAAAGACAGTCGAGGGCAGCAATTAAGCTGAGAACATCGCGGACAAGGAACACTCGCTCTCCCAATTTCGGTTCGATCCCCAGCGGTGGTGGAAACAAGAGAGTGCATGTCTGATAGGGTTAGTTGTTATCCCTCCGATGGCATGGTGGTTTTCCCCCGTGAGTTTCCTCCACCACGAAAACACCATTTGTTCCCTTAGCGGCGTCGTAATAAAAGTTCTACAGAGCTTTTGATTGTTGTTGACAATTGTACACAACGTTAAATAAAGGTTATTATTTATTTATAAATTATTATTATTTATAACGCTGATGTAGAGGACCTATTCTTGCTCATTCGTAAAGAAATATATGGATTACTTCAAACTTAACTTCAATGATTTATAAATATTGTATCCAGAGAGAATTAATGCATAGTATTTGTTCTTAATGTGTAAAAGAACTTTGTGTGTCTTCATTTCACTTTATTCCCCATTTCAGTAATAAAAGTGAAACTCAAATTGGTAACTGTTACCCAAATGCAGGATTATTACCCATATAAGAAGGTGTGCCCAACCTGTTCAATATATGTATTTTTTAATGCTTCCCCTCCCAGATTTCAATGCTATGTTAATTTTATGTGTTTCAGGTACGCAGTTGTGATGCTTGAGAGTTTAGCAGGGACCGGCCATAGAAGGGTGATTATAAGAATGAAGGATGCTCAAAAAACGGAACAAATCATGAAAGACCCACTTGGTACGTTTAAAGTAAAGCACAAGTCATTATTTCCAACACGTTTCAAGGGAGGAGGAGGTTACCCTAGATATCTGGCATTCTTTCTATTGGCTACGCTGGCATTAATCATAATAACTTTTTTGACCAGTTCACCTCACATGAAATGCATTTGGCTTCTGGTATTGCATATTGTCAGTCAACGTCAGTCAATGGCTGTTGATAAGCCCGAGTTACCTCTAGCCCTAACACCAGACTTAGACATTTTGACATATAGATGTCTGGTATGGGGCCAGAGCGCACTGCTATATATGAAAATGTGGAATTCTCCGACACCATTTGGTATTGGGAGAGTTATGAGGGGCTGACAACAAAAATCTACCATGTCACAACACATACCTCACATTTATCGATAATTTGATTAACTATTGATCCAAATCAGCTCTAATTATCACCAACAACTGCTGAATGCCGTCAGTAGAGTCCTTGATTTTCAATTGTTCAAAATTTCCCACCTGCGCGAACGTCATTTTTGGAGGGCATGCAGTGACTTATCAACAAACCTTACCAATCTAGACCAAATACTGAATATATTGTTCTTGTTTAGAAGATTTCCAGACCGCGTCTTTTTGTTGATTAGTCGCTCCCCGATATCAAATGGTGTCGGAGAATTCCACATTTTCATATAGCAGTGCGCTCTGGCCCCACACCAGACTTCTATATATGTCAAAATGTCTTAAGTGTGGTGTTAGGGCCAGAGGAAATTAGGGCTGGCTGTTGATGTGAGCAGTCTACAACTCCTCAATTGACAATGTAGTGTCCATAATTTATCTAGTTGGGTTATGCTGGCATCTAGTCAAATGAGTGAGAAATGAATCAACTGATATGTAGATGAAAATATTTTCTCCAACAAACATGTAAAACTCTCAGAATCGCTATCGCCAGATTGTCGGCGACGAATCACCGTGTTATATAGAGCAGTCGATAGCTGACCATAAACAGGCGACCAGTCAGAATTTTTTAGCCTGCAATTATGGTCAGTTTTAGCAGACTACCTTTTATCTGGGTTGGAGTAAGAAGGCGTGGGTTGCTATGGATGGCTTAAATTGATGTGGAGCGATATGTTTGTGGTTCGTTGACTCCTTGACCGTGGAGAGAAATAAAATGAGGCGAAAAAACAATAAGAAGCAGGCGTTCAGTGTATTGTAACCATAGGAAAACGGATTACAGATACTTCCATAGAGTTCTTAGAGACATAGCGGGTTGTGGTTCCCTATTTGTGTTGTTGCATTCGTAGGGTCTGGTAAAGCTTCAGTGGCCTTCTTTTAATTCATAAAGGTCATATATTTTTAGAAATTATAACGTTATCTTAAAGCCATTAGGTCAGGAGCCTTGATTCTTGGATATGTGATGATACTAGCAGTGCAAATCCTTTCCGTCGTGTTGATTTGTGTAAAGGTCGATGATTCGTTTTTAGGGCTGAATTGGGTCAGTGGTAAACATTTGCTATGATGAGCAGAATCATAAGTTCAGTATTGAGATACTGAGATGAAATGCTATAAAGTTTCCTCATATAAATGAGATTGACTTACTTTCAAGGTCACAGTGGCCACAGGGAGACTGAGTCAGAAATGGGGAAATATTTGTAATGTTATTTTTAATGAGAATATTTTGCCGTATTGTGTTATACACCTAGGTGATCTGGACAGGCCATCTGGGCCTTTTGTTTGTATAAGACCGACTGAACCTTAAGAATTGAATCCTTATTTTGAAATGGCAAGACAGAGTAAAACATTTCATCCAAGAAATTCAGGGGAGTTCAATTTAGGAATAGATAACTATAATTACAAATCTTGCTATATTTAGCATTGTGATAAAAAATGTCTGTCTCAGCTAAATCAAAAAGGAAGATGTTTTCAGACTCTTAAATTACTGATGAAATATCTTCTGAAATTAAAATTATGACTTCATGTTTTTGAACAGTTGGACAAGATGTGTTGTACAAAGAGATAAAGAGAATCCGGAGTATTAAAGTACCACGGAGAACTTGAAAGATGCTGTAAAGATAATATGGAGGAAAAAGCAGAACTTTTTAGCAGAAAGTGGATGACTGGAAAATGGAAAGTGCTGTGTGAAAATCAAAGATAAAATGTTGCATCTTTGCCATATAGATTGATACAGAAATCTGGAACTGTATATGTTTGGCCAATTAAAATATGTGTCTATGTCCGAACTCCCTACCCTGACCATTCAGCGGTAGGATGATACAAAATCATATCTTTCAAATATGTGGGATCATGTACGTGTATAGTTTTCTTGATGTTCCAATTGTGAATGGCCTCCATACTTACTGTGCCGACATTACTGACCAAGGATTTCCTGTAAGTTTAATGACGGGACTAGTTTTTCACGTACTTTTATTTGGCAAGAGAATTGTAAATGTTCTATTTCACATGTTGCGACATACTTACAAACTTTTAAAAAAATCCATGGAAGAGATTATGTGTGCTCAGAGTTAAAAACAATTAAAAAGTGTGTATGTACTAATTCACCCTAGAGGGAATACACTTGTAAGTTTCATCATTTGAGCTGTTCTTTCAGATGAAATAATCAGATCTAAGAAAATAGGACTAAACTTTTAGTTTAGCAAATTCACTGGTGGAAAATGCTTAATTTTAGGGTCCAAAATCAGGAGTCACGTTCAAAAATGAGGAGAGTTGGCAAGTATGTTGCCATGGAAATATGTTATTTATATTTATTGTTGCCGTGTAAATGTGCTAGACCATCTGCCTCACAGATATAGGTATATTGTAGGTTGGCTGTGTGTGTTATTAGAAACAAATAAAAAAAATAAAAAAATAAAAATAAACATTGTTCATTTTATTATTATCAAAGCATTACTTTCCAGTTGTTTTGTTGGTATTCCTGGTTGTTCAGAATATTTAAATTGAAATGTACATGTGGCACGAAACAACTCACCTGAGAGTAATTGGCACCTTTGAACGACTTTAATCGGGACTAAGTGAAACCTTTGATTCATTGGCTGTATTTGATTTAAGCACATTGACATAGACAAGTTTTGCAAAGAAATCGTTCGAACATGGTGTAAATAAAATATAAAAATAAATCTGTTTGTATACAAAATACCATTCATTTTATAACACCTGCTTCTTCAAGCTTGAAAAGGGTATGATCCTTGTGTGAAGGTTCTGTGAAATATTTATTTAGTTTTGTGAATTCTGATTAATATTCTCAGATATTATTGGATCCTGGATTGAATTATTGGGCTATGATGCGTATTACATAAAACACATAACTGTTTTTGTAAATATGAGTTGTATACATTGTAATAATAAATAAAAGTACAATTGAAGTATTTAAATATATATTTATAAATACTGAATTATGAAATTTGATTGAGAGACCTATAAATTACTGTCCGAAATTCAGAAATAGTGGTAATAAACTTTAACAATTCATGATGTCAGCCTGGTGACCATTTTTAGTTCACCGAAAGGGCCAGGTGAGCTAATGCTGTGACGCAGCATCCCTCGTCTGTCCATCTGTCGTGTGCCGTCAATATTTTACTTTAAACTTCTCTCAATAACCAAAAGGCCTATGGTGATGATATTTGGCCAGAAGCAAACTGGGATGAAGGGCTACCAAATTAATTCAAATAAATGACCCTTCACCTACATTGAAAGGTCACAGGGGTCAAATATGTTAAAAACTTTAACCAACTTCTTCTGAGTAACTAACATGTGCAGGATGATGCTTTTTAACCTGTAACATGCTTGGATGAAGGGCAACCAACTTTGTAAAAATGAATGACTGACCTTTATTCCAAAAGGCCCAGGATGATGATATCTGGCCAGCAGTATGCTAGGATGAAGAGCTGTAGCTTTATTTTAGATCGCTTTTAAGATTACATGTGCTAGATTAATACTAGGTGAGCGATGCAGGTCCGATGGGCCTCTTGTTGCAATAAAGCTGCAAATAAAAAATAAATAAAATGGAGATATGTACTTCAAATATCTTTCCAATACTTTCTGAAAAATAACAACAAACTTGACTATCAAAGCTATCTTGTTTCAGGGTTTTTTCAGTCTGAAATTGAACATATACATTTAAGAATAAAGAGGAACCTACTTGTGAAGAAAGATCTCCATTAGGACTTTCTTCTTAGATTTGATGACAAAAAAATGGTTAAATCAAAGATGGCTGCCTTTTGGCCATCTTGTTCTACAGATTTATCTCAAAATGAAACGTGCACTATGAAGTGGAATAGGAAACCTAAAAATGAATAAAAAAAAATAAAAAGGTATGTTAAGGACGTCTCAAGAAATAGGGTTAACAAACTTTAAATGTCATAATTCAAGATCGACGTCTGGCGTCCATCTTGTTTTGCCAAACAGTCTCAAAATGAAATATTCACAATTATACGTCTCTAGCACAACTAAGGAAAACTACATATGAAATTTGAGGATAATCTTGAGAAATAGCGACAAGAAACTTTTACTGTCTAATTCAAAGATTGCTACTATGCGACCATTTTTATTTTTCCGATCAGTCCCAAAATGAAACATACGGCACAGCAAGGACCTATGGGAACCTAAATATGAAATTTTGAGATCGATCCAACCTTCACTTTCTGAGAAAGGGCGATAGCAAACATGAACTCAAAATATCAGAAACTTTCAGATGGTCAGCGTTTTCTTCCGACCAATGCAAAACGAAGGACCAACGGGATACTTCTTTGAAAAAAACCTAACACTTCTTGAGAAAAAAGTGACGTTTCATTTCCTAAAAATGAGCATTGTCGTTATATGTTCTTATACTGCGCGCTGTCGCCGCGTTTTTTTTTTTCAAATGCTCGATTTTCGTGTTTTTTGCGACAGCGTCAATATAGTTGTTTTTACAAAGCATTGCTTTGTCGCCGTGGAAAAGCACCGATTTACTTTCCTATACGGTAATAAAACGGTCTTTTTTCGTCGTGACAAAGTGCCGTTTTGTAAAATAGAATGGTGCTTTTTAGCTTCTCCACAGCGACCACTTTGTCCCTCTTGACACTCAAAATTTGTAAAATCATGTATTTGGCCATTTCCTCTCCATTAGTTCTGATAAGGTCTAAATTACTAGGTTCGCTCCCGATCCTCGACATATATGTTGAAATAAATTGTTTTCGCCAAAATCTCAACTTTCTTGATCAATTTTTATTCCAAGACTGTCACTTTATCTTGAATAACTCACGTCTCCTATTATCACGACAAAAATTGCAAAAGTCTTTCAGTTTTTTGTGGCTCTTCGGACTGGGGTAAAATTGTTTCCGTAAGCTAGATCTTGACCCATAAGCCTATACTTCCTTTTAAAATGTATAAACGTTTGTTTTACCGCGCTATTTTCCTTGTGTAGCAGAGTGATATAATTTTTACCAAATAAAAATCCATGATAAACAAGTTTCCACCAAACGACGACGCTCTAAGATTATAAGATATTAATTTCACTGACTAGTCTTCATCAGAAATAGCATTCCAATTAATTAGCCATAAATTAAAGGCCCTCAATCCTAAGTGACCTTTTTATGAGAACTTGATATACAGTGACGTCCCATATAAGTTTTTCACGTTACGTCATTTTCCCCTAGATTCTAAGTTAACCGACTTCTCGAAAATCGATGTTTCTGTCTTTTGTTTTAGCCAAAAATTGATAAAAATTAGCCTACACTAGAGAATTACTTAGCGCTTCGATTGGTAATATTAATATCAATACACGTTTCCTAAAATACTAAGCATAACTTAATGGGTTAATTGGCCAAAAGAATGTGTACGGCAATATTTATCAAGGTGTGCATATTACCACAATAAACACCGGATAACTCTCTAACAGGATATCAAGTTATATTAAAAAAAGGATATCAAACGAAGTCACGAAAATATTATTTGAAAAAAAGGAGTTAATTAAGGCATACATAGAATCCACAGGGAAAAGACGCTAACATAAAACACTTGTGGCACGTCACTGCATATTGATAAATACCAACCACAGAAACTGAAACTTTGGTAAACATTATATTGTTTTTCTTTTCAAAATACATTCTGCTTTTGTATGTGATTCTTAACATGCAGTGTACACGCCTAACATATTGTACAATATGCTAATGTTAAACAGTGTTTATTAAAATGTATAATGATATGTACAAGGACGTTGTATCTGATTTTTAAGAAATTAGGGTCATGTGTATTCAAGCTAAATCAGTTTGCTTCCTCTATAAATACGCCCTTTTCCTTAATCTGACGTGTCGAAGGGCAGGTAATAACTGTTACGTTAATGTCGACAGAGTTGTTTCCCTTTGATCATACATCATCCGATTTGATTGACCTGATTCCTACTGACTGGGCACCGTCTTTATATCTTATGACAGACAAGGTTCCCGTGCTGCACAGTGTCTGACGGCAACTCGGTAAGTGAAGGTAAGCCTTAATGCTTCTAGATCTCGGCACAAATAGAGTCGGACGGATGTGGTATTCGGGTGAAAATGGTTCCTCAAATGGTTGAGTGATTAAAATCGGACGGTCGGCTCCTGACAGTAGCTAGCCACTAGAGTAATGTGTACAAGGCACTATAGAGTGTGTGTACAAGGCTCACAGGTGTTTAAAAGTAAGTTGCATATTTTGTTCAGCACATTAGCGGTCTAACTAGGTCTAAGTAGACAAGTTTAAGTGTGTTTGGTTTTGTTTTGCTTTTTCATTTCCTCGATTCGTAAGGACTACCTACTGGAAAATTCGTTTTTAAATGCTAAATAGATCCAATCACATTGCATGGGAATGGCCCCAGATCCTTCCCATACGATATCCCATGCCTGAGTTTACAGTGGAGTAAATATCAAAGAAACCGTGCGGTAAAATGAACACGTTCAGACGTTCTTTATGAGTTAGGCCTATGTAAATCAGTGCATGCGTGATCTGTAATATATATACCCTATTTATAATTTTGGTCATGACCAATATGAGTCATACAGTAGTGGTAAAATCTACAAAACACAAAACATTAAATATCCTTTCCATTACTTAGGTTAATATATGGCCTGCAAAATATCTGAGATAACAACATTAAATGGGTGGTATGTGTAGCGTCATGTTATTTTTTAGCCAAAATGAAATTCAAAGGGTAATTTTACTTCTTTGAATTTCCACCAAAAAAAAGGATGATTTTAACCAGGTTAAGCATTTATATAAACATGATCCTCGCACATTTTTTCTTGAAAAATGAAGTGCCAGTGAGCTTATAAAGGCTGTTTGCATAGAATCATTATTTTCTTGTTCTGTTGCTACTTCAAAGAAGGGGGGAAGGGCTCTAGCAATCAAGTGGGAAAAAATGTTCAAATTTTCTTAAACCCACTTTAGGTCACTAAGGGGAAAAGGAGTTGAAAGTTGAGTGATTCGTTATATCCAGAAAGATCTTATTTTCATATGATATTCATTCTTTTCAATCTGGTTTACTTTCTTTCCCCATACATTTTGTATACTTGTGCCCTTTCAACTCATTCACCCCTGAAATTTCATAATGAACTATTCCAACCTTTGAATTGGAAGAGTTCAAATGTGTCTAAATCTACAACTCCACTTCATCACAAACCTACCTGCACTAAGTTCTAGTATATCCCACCTGTTCTACATTCTATTACGACCATAAACATATCAAAGGAATCAGATATCAAACAAGGCCTTGTTTATGACTGAAGTTATTGCGGAGGTAAATCTCCTTATGTACATATTGGCACACCTCTCCGCAGCTTAATGACTCGCTGCACTTCCTCCAAAAGACACCTTTATAAAGTTTTGTGATAAAACAGTATTGATTATAACCCAATACTAGAAATATAAATGTAGGAAAAAATTGCCAGATTTTTCACATCAAGACCTAAGATTTAGATTTCAATCTCAGAAAAAAGATGCACATTGACCGACTCCATATCATATTCCGTCTTTGCGTATTGCAGAGTTATCTTCTCTTGGGAGCAGGTATTGATTGTTACGTCACTTGTTTGTGAGTGTAACGTCATCAACTTTTGAGAAAACGACGTAATTTTCTCACACAAACCAATGACGTACCAATCAATCCCTGCTCCCAAGAGGAGATAACTCTGCAATACGCAAAGACCGAATATACATACATGCATGTATATATAGTTAACTTAGATAATAAATAAACAAGTTCTTGCGAAGGAAAATATAGAATAAAATAATAAGTATCCAAGACCGACTAGTCTTGGATATACTTATTATTTTATTCTTTACATATATAATTATAAGAAATGGTCTATATTGATTATATATATATCTTGAGTCAATATATTTTGGTAGCCATCTTGAATTTTGGATCTAGCCAATATACAATTTTGTGTACAATGTACCAATTTGGTTGGAGTCTAGTACAACTGGAGAACAAAGTTTTTGAGAGGAAACATTTTTAAATGGCACAACGTTAACACTTAACATTACAAAAACAATGGAGATGGCAAATTCAGTACGAGACAATTTTCCATCAACTACAAAATAAGAAATTTTCAGAATAATAATAATAAAAGTGAGCATCATCAAAAATACCGGTAATCATTTTATTGAAGGAAATGACTCTTTTCAAACTTTCAAATTCAATTTTGTTGTTGTGAATTCAATTTTCAATTATTGATGTTTCAATTTGAAAGTTATTTCATAGTATGAAGTTGCATATCTCTTTGATGGATGTTGAAACTCAGTATTGTAATTCAACTAAATTTCTTTGCTGCAGGTTCAACTGACCAGTGTCGGTGAAGTGTCGGCTAGGACCAGATTTGTTTAAGTAACCAGTGAGAGTGAAGTGTCCAGAGAAATGGCTAACTGCGGCTGGCTTTGGTCTGTAATATGGGTGATTATACTACTAGTTTTTGGCTGGCCCATCGGATTGATCTGTGCCCTCTTCTACTGTATGCTAAGTCCATTTGCTGCCTGTTGCCACGGCTGTAGCGAACTCATCAACCTGTTGGATAGAGGTGTCAAACTTCCTTTGACTTGTGCTCAAAATATGGTCGCAGGAAAGTCCATGTGTTGATGTTCATGCTAGCCAAGCTGTATGTAGACAGTCAGATGGGGAGCCCCAAGTGCAATATAATAGGACTTCAGTCTTGTGGAAAAGTAAAATGTGTGAAACAGGAATTATATCTCAGGATCCTTTGTGGAAATTTATTCCACTTAGACTATGGGAACAAGATGACTGCATACCACTTTTTTTGTTTTCGTCCCAAGATCTCAATAAATCCTGATATTAATAGCTACTAAAGTGTATCAGCTTATGGAAGGAGATTAGATATTCAGTAATCAGCAAGACTTACTAGTAACTTAATGAAATTTAAGTGATTTTGCCAAAGAAAATTTGAAGAACATTCAATTTGGTGAAGGATTATTAGCACGACTCCTATCCGACAATTTTTTCTTTTCCTTTTAACAAAATGTTTATGCAGAGGGTGCATGCTGCCTCACTATTTATCTGCTTTACAATATATTCCCCCCACATAGCAAACTATTGGATCTAAATCACTTGCGTTAATTTTCACTTGCGTTAATTAAGGATCTTACTTTTATTTTACCTCACTGCGTCCAAAGACCTTTTAAGTTTATGCAAGGCACAGCATCTTTTTGTCAGAAACTTTCTTTTAAAAAAGACTACTAGTCATGAGCAGCTAAGTCAATTTCAATAAAACATTTTTATATAAATGTGGACTAGTACACTAAGAACCTGCCATGGCCCTGATAAGGTATTAACCTGGTGAGCCAGGGTCTCTTTAAAAACAAGTTTCATTTTTTTCCAAAATATTATACAACTAAAAGCTTTTACATTTGTTATACAATTTATCATTATTTTTATATATCAAGCTGAATATATTGTTGTGATTTACAGATATTACATTTTACTTTCTCTATTTTGTGCAAGATCTGCAAAGAGGTCAGAGCCTGTGGTTGCTCATATTCTGTTGTTTTTTTGTTTTGTTTTTTCACATAAACTACAAGTTAAGGTTTGTATTAGGAGTTAAAAATGATTTGAATGTCATTTAAGTTCAAAGCGCTCCCTGATAAAAATGCGGCAGAATCATTTTGTAAACTATTTGTTAAACAACTAATCAAACCAAACTGGTACCCTATGGTTGCCTCTGGTGTAGTCCGAGTTTCCTCTGGCCCTGGCACCAGATATCTATCTGCCAAAATGTCTGAGTCTGGTGCCAGAGGAAACCCGGTCTACCTCTGGTGATTATCTGATGTATGAGTTGGCCCTGTTTTTATGTCATTCCAATTAATTTATCTCATCCACATATTTTATTTGGTAATTATTCATACATCACATGCAAACTATTTTCTTAAAAGTGTGGCATGAGTCGAATCTTGATCTCACATTTTAAAAAAATCCCTAGTAAATTATTAATGTCTTCTGTGCCCATGTTGAATGATGTACATTGTACTTGTATTTTGTACTTTGTGTTACCTCAAGCCTTTCTTCCTAGTAAATCTTGCCATCCGTTTATATCTAAAATGTATCCCAGATTTCCTGTTTAATATTACTGGGTTTATTTTTTAAGGTTGTAGGTATAATTTTATTATACAAATGTACCTGTATTGATATTGTACAACAACTAAAGTGCTTATGTCGAAAATGTATAACTATGGAATGCCAATCTTTAGATGTTTAGATATTTTTGTTATGGTAGTTTGTTTTATATTTATATAATATTCTCTATATATATATATATATATATACCTCTCTTCTGTGCCTTTACATGATGATCAGCTCCTTGATCATAAAAATCTTACTGAGTGAATTAAGAATTTTCATCATTAATAATAAAAATCTGTGAAATAAATCAAACTTTAGTAAACTATATGTAATACATGCATGTACCTGGTATTTGAAGTATATAAAGTACATACAAAATGTTCTGATGCGACATAATAGAAATAAACAACATCCAAGTATGCACCTGAATAGGTGATTTACTACCTTCAACATTCTACAAGTGATTTGTGTTTAGATTGATTGATATTTTATTAATTGAGCATAAAAATTGGATTCTGTTCCGAGTTGTGTACCTGTAACAATCTGGACAGAATCTCAGAAAACATTTTTGGAAATTATCATTATTTTTGACAGAAGGCAGTAATACTTACATGGTTAATTTTCATTGACAAGCACAATAAATGTATACTTAAAATTTGAGACAGATTTACAATATTAAAATGGAGCAGCCAAAAGCTAGAATCATCAGTTTGCTATCTCCAACATGATGATTTTGACATCACTTTGTATTTTTTCTACGATCATGGGGCTAGAACTGTCAAAAGCAACCTGCTTTGCAGTAAACTTGATGAATACTTGGTCAAAAGATTTCCTTCTGAAATTATTAGAAAATGTTGTGGTTTATTCTGTATTCTAAAACATACACTAACATTTGTCCACAACTCTTGTTATGTACATATACCATAAAGTGCTTTTACTATAAACAGAAATTTGCATCATAATCTCATGCAAACACAATTTAAAGAAATTAAGGGCATTGCTATTTGCTTTTCGTTCAAGTTGCTAATTGTAGCATGTTTAGCAGTAAGAACTTTATAATTTTAATAAAGATACTATTGTACATACATAGTCAATGTGTTATTTGTTGTTATCCCTCCTCATAACTTTACCAATATTTAGAGATACAAAACAGTTTCTCTGAACAAAGGTAGTACAAATTTGATGCTACAGGTTGGTTGTACAAAGTTTAACATCTTATCAACAGCTAAGCTCATTTAAGGATGTTGATGCTTTAGGAGAAATGCAATGTGATTTACTTGAAGAGTAGCTGATGCTGAAAGAGGCAACTAACTTTTTGGTGAAAATTTGTTATATTTTAGGGACTTGTTACACTCACCTGGCTCACAGGGGTGAAGTATTATATAAATATCACATTCATGAGAGGGGGATATTGCATATTTTCACCCCAAGGAAGCATTGTTGACCGAGGCGAAGTGTCATGTTAAGGTGTTTCACCACTTCACCATTTTTAAAGGTCGACAAACGTTTCAGAAAAGTTTTCACTGGGATGAACCAAGGGCGCATACATTTGGCACATGTAACAATTTTTGGAATAACACCCTGGCACTGGGACGAACCTGCACGCATACGTTTGGCGCATGTGATATTTTTTGGAATAACACCCTGTCTTCTTTATCTTTGTAAAACGAGCAAGTAACATTGAAAATGTTCACATCTTTCTCAACCAATCAGATTATGAGATTTTAACAGAAGGTATAATAATGTAATTTCAGGCCCCTTAGTCCTCTTGTTTGAATAAAATTCAATGTTCTATGTATAAAACAGTAAAAAGAATAGCACCGCCGCAGGCCAGTATGACTCCCAATTAGGGATAATGCATAAACCATTGACACTTTGATTTGACCTTCACCTCGGGAAGCTACAATCTGATTAAAACCAGATCTTTGATTCCACTCCTGGTACTCTATTTGACTGGAACGTAGAGTATCGGGAGTGGAATCAAATATCTGGATTTAATCAGATTGGGGAAGCTACAAATATACGGTACTGACCTGTGTACATGTATAATGTGACATAGATAAGTTTACCTTTAAATGGAACATGCTAGCCTACACCACACTACAGAAATGTTTATCTGTGTGAACATAGAACCAAGTCATTATTCAAAAGTGTTGACATTTAATTGCCGACAAATTTAGAATGTCCACTGGACAATATATTGCAAAATGTGATCAGGGCCCCTTTCACGTATTTAAATGTAACATTTTCCTGGTATTAATCCAGGCGGACCTGCAAAAGTTTATTCAGGCCTTGCAATGCCTGTCAAGGCTTGCATGAAAGCAGCATCAGGTTACTGGGTCCGACCTTATTTCATAAATGAACAACTCTGGTCCAACCATTTGGATCACCATAAACGAATGCGGTCCAAAATAAAAACTTGGGGGCATAACCAGTAACCGTTATTTATCTCACCTGTCCCCACGCGATAGTCGCCACCAATAGTAGATCATATTCAATGTGAAAAACATTGTATGATATTCAACTGCCTTGGTCCCCTCACAGATGTGGTGCTTGGCCAATTCACCAGGCAGAAGGAGCGGTCTGGATCTGCTGAATGGTGATGGTAGTGGACCTTAATTTGAAAGTTCTGCCACAAGTTCTTTTCCTGAGGAAAGCCATTCACACTTGCTTGTGAATTTCAGTGTTCCACATTGAAATCTTGCACTTTAAAACACTTAACATTCATGAGCAACTGACAATGTTACTGAACCATACGAAGATTCACACAGCGTCTCAACTTCCGAGTAAGAAGTACAACCTAGGATGTGATTAAATTGTATCTACATGTATAGTAAAAGTTTAATTGGTCAAGGAATTAAACTGTCTGATCAGGCAGCTATCCAGTATGAGGAGGCCACCCACCATGTGATTTTGTTCTGATTACTATACTACTGTACTCAAGATTGCTGAGGGACCTGGGTGTAAATGTATATGGTACAGTAACAACCCTTACACACAAGAACAAAGTAAAAACAAAGATAGGTTTCTGTAATAAATCCTTTATATTCCATTTCTACTGCAGTTTCATCAGTACAATGATTTGACAGGAAGGGCTATTTATTCTTTAAAAAATGAGATTTTAAGTAGCCTCCTGCCAACATATAACGATGTAATAGATTACATAGCTTTGTCCATAAAATGTGATTATAAAAAGCGCAGGTTTTTTTATATGACAAGCAAAATGACTAAAATCATATACATAAAATGATGAGATAATCCTTTAAAACTGAAGTAGCTGTCGCAATTGTGAAGCATTATACATTGTTATATAGGTTCCACAATTTTATTTACAATACAATTAAACATCACTTTTAACTGATGGAAGTAAAATTGGATAGTTAATCTTAATGCTTACCTTTTATCAGATTTCCACTCGCTCAATAAACCTGGTACTGCATACAGTTTAATACAAATCAAATTTGATATAACATTTTCATTGTACTGTAAAAGTATATATTTTCGTTAGGGTTAAATTTCGTTGTTGATGTATGGAGACAAATTTGTTTGGATAATATAATTTGTGGAATCAATATTCAGAACCCTGTATTTTTTCTGGTAAGCAAGAAGTTTAAATTGACAGGCGTGATGACACAGTGCAGGTAAATATAGTACAGGTAAGATCGGGGGAGATTTACTCGTTCGATGGTATGTGTTTAAAATGTCATTGGGATTGTTTTTCATGGTTTTTATAAAACCAGGAATGTAACGAAATTTAATACCCCAACAAAATATTATGCTTTTACAGGATATGACTATCAAAACCACAATCGGTCAAGTTTTTCAAAACTCTATGTTATACAATTAACATACACAAAAACTGCTACAATAATAAGAGTAAATCTATATTAATAAGATGGCAAGATACAACAAATGCCTACTTTTATACATACAAAATAAGTTATCAATTTTATCTTTTAAATTAATTTATTAAAATTGACAGGATAAAACATGTTTAAATTAAAAAAAAAATAAAGATTTCTTAAATTATTGATTATCTGTTTGATATAAAAATGAAACACTATTTTGAAAAAAAAAAAGTACATATATCTATGTGTGCAGTTTGGTTTAGGAGTTCAGGACTGAACTTCTTAATTAATTATATTTTCTGCAGACATTTGGCAATATTCTACCATTGAAGCATATAAAATATAAAAGTACATATTATAGTTATTTTCATATTTTTCGGTATTAACAATGTTCTGAACTTTCCAAAAATACCATCAGTAACAGAACATTCTACCGACTACTGCTAGAATCCGGTAATAAAGAGGATTAAGACCTTGGTCAGGGCAGTAACATGCAGCTGTAATTAGGGGCACATACACATGTTTTATTGTATTTATAAGTCCCAATCATTTAACAGAAAGTGCTATTAATGTATCTATTGAGTATTCATATCATCAATCATGCTTAAAAATACTGAAAATCTAAAAAAAAAATCAATCTATAAATCTACCTGTTAAACATGTGAAGGATCAATTTATGATTATTAAAGGTTCATGTTCCAACATTAAATAATACATTGTAATGAAAACTCATATGATGATAAGCATATACATAATTGTAAGCATTAATCAGAAAAAAAATATAATAACACATGGATCAGTATACAATACTATGAAGACAAAACAGATTATCATTTTATATATTAGTCTGGACAAAGACAAACTACTGCCTACAATATACGTACATAATGACAAGAACAAATTAAATTGACACGTGAAAATAAAACAGGAAAGATAGACAAGGGAAAGAAGACAGTTTGGAGACAAAGATAGTTTCATAAACAGGATCATTATGGAGAGGAACTTCAATTTTTTCTACCTGTGCAATACATATATATGAAGTTATAGGTGAAACAATGTGATGTACATTTAAATGATCGATTCAGTACAAAAGGTGGATAGAAGTATAGAAATATATTTCAGCACCACAGGAACATGGTACATGTATATCAAAGTATGATCATTTCAGCACCACACAACAATGGTACATATCAAAGTATGATCTTTTCAGCACCACAGGATGCTGGTACATCTATAGAGTATGATCATTCCAGCACCACCCAACAATGGTACGATCAAAGTATGATCATTTCAGCAACACAGGACTATGGTATGTCAATAGAGTATGATCATTTCAGCACCCGAGGATGATGGTACGATCAAAGTATGATCATTTCAGCACCATAGGACGATTGAACATCTATAGAGTATGATCATTTCAGCAACGCAGGACTATGTTACGTCGATAGAGTATGATCATTTCAGCACCATAGGATGATGGTACATCTATAGAGTATGATCTTTTCAGCACCATAGCACGATGGTACATCTATAGAGTATGATCATTCCAGCACCACACAACAATGGTACGATCAAAGTATGATCATTTCAGCAACACAGGACTATGGTACGTCGATAGAGTATGATCATTTCAGCACCATAGCACGATGGTACATCTATAGAGTATGATCATTTCAGCACCATAGGACGATGGAACATCTATAGAGTATGATCAATTCAGCACCACAGAACAATGGTACATATCAAAGTATGATCATTTCAGCACCATAGCACGATGGTACATCTATAGAGTATTATCATTTCAGTACAATTTCTTCCTTTAGGAAATGACTTGTTTTAAGAAATCTGATGTGACTGGTCTGTCCATGTAAAAGAAAGCAGCTCCATAAGACCATTGAGATAAACATCTGATTGCTTGGTATGATCAACTTTCTGATCCAAGTAGTCCATCCACATAAGGGAATGTTTCCACACACACTGTATACAGTGAACACTTCGTGGTGGTAATTATGACAGTTTTAGCACCACACAACAATTTTAGCCCAGACAAATTCTATTGTGCCTTGATCCCTCGCCGTGACATGTGCTTATCAAATTTCTGGTCTGCCCTCTTCTTCATTGCTACAGCTCGACGATTTTCTCTGAAAGATACATTTAATATAATTTGAGGAATTTATGCTTTTTACCATGAACAGACACACTGAAAAAACACTTTCTCTAAACCCACTTACCAAAGACGGGGTATAATAATGTCCACATTTTAAAATTCAAATAAATATTATGAGATTGATGAAACATTTATTTCAACACTGCTCTGGCAAGCTATGAAAAACAACATCAAAACAATCCATAAATCTTGAAATGAATCAATATCCTTTCTAAACCATTAATTTGAGCCCATGGCTTTTCAACGTCTTCTCATAAAGCACTGAACAAATTTCAACCAAATTTTCTATTATTTGGATACTAAGGGATCAAAATGTCTCGTTTGGTGCTCCAAACTGTCATCTTCTTCTCATAACTAAGAAATTACGGAGCTTAGATATATATCTCATTTTTATACGCCCGTTGATTGATGGGGCTTTACGTCCTTGTTCCAGTTATAACTGAGCCTAGGACAATTATACGCCGGTCAAATTTGACAGAAGTATTATGGTATGGGGTGGTCCGGCCGGCATAAATTTTTGTTTGTCTGGCAATCTCCTCCTACATTTTTCGATCGATCTCTGTGAAACTTGATACACATTATAATCATATGTAGTTGTGTCTACCTTAAAAAAGAATTTTGATTTGACAATTTTTCCAAAAGTGTTTGCCCTTTGTTCATTTCAGTATTTGATTTTTTGTCTGGAGATCTCCTTCTACATTTTTTGACAGATTTCTTTGAAACTTAGTACGCTAAATAATCATGATATGCTGTTGTGTCTCCTTGAAAAGAATTTTGATTCAAAAAATTTTGAAAAAGTTATTGCCCTTTGTTTATTTCAGTATTTGATTTTTGTCCGGCAATCTCCTCCTACATTTTTCAACGGATCTCTTTTAAACTTGGTATACATTATAATCATGATATGAAGTTGTGTCTCCCTCAAAAGAATTTTGATTTGATGATTTATGCAAAAGTAATTGCCCTTTGTTCATTTCAGTATTTGATTTTTTGTCTGGAGATTTTCTTCTACATTTTTTATAGCATATCAGCTAACCACTCTTAGAGTGATGCAGATCTTATTTCAATGTAAGAAAGTATATAACACTATATGGCATTCGACGGGCGTATATTGTTCCGCCCTGCGGTATATAACACTATATGGCATTCGACGGGCGTATATTGTTCCGCCCTGCGGTATATAACACTATATGGCATTCGACGGGCGTATATTGTTCCGCCCCGCGGTATATAACACTATATGGCATTCGACGGGCGTATATTGTTCCGCCCCGCAGTATATAACTGGGTTGCTTCTATTACAAGGAGTAACTGTTGGGTTCTAGAACTGGTAATTTTTAACATTTTTTCTTCTTCAAAAACATCAAAATTTCAGAAAAAGTTAAGGTTTGGTCTTCAGCACAATCTAAAATACAAACTTCCCGACTCATTCATCAATCTCATGTGAAACAAAAAAAACATCACTGTCCTAACTTGATGGTACCAACCTTCCTGCCACCTTTGGTGTTTTCACGCTGACTTTTGGTTCACCCTTTGCAGTGGAGTACATGGTGGCAGTTTCCAAGGGCTTGAGTGTGCCTTTGTGCGTTTTCCACGTGATGGGGCGAGCTAGACTTGCTTTTAGGTCAAACTTCTTGGTTGTTGACTTGCTGTCATTTAGTGTACAGTTTATAGAGGCATCAAACCTGAAAGGTGTGACTGCAATAAAAAATATAGGTGATAAGGGACCATCTTGTTACAGTACTGATGGTCAAACTAAAGAAGCAATATGATTGATCATTCCATAAACTTATATTATTACTTTTTTATCATACCAGGTATTGAAAATAATCTGTTATTTCATATTTAACAAAATGATCTGTCAATTTAGGTAAACTAAAAATTGTCTATAAGACATGAATGCATCCCCTCAAATGGAAATTAGTGTCACTGTCAAATTTCCATAAAAAGATGACTTGTAACATGAAAACTGAAATACAAACTAATTCAAAGCATTCTCATACTTGACTTTTTTTATAAAGCTTGATCATTTTTTTTTTCATTTTTTTAGATAGTTAGTGACCTTGGAACTCTGAAATATGGACTCATTTGAGGTATCTTCATACTTAAACTTTGTTGAAAATTTATTAAGAAAAGAGTTGCTAAAACAATGACACTGAATCAGGACCAGATAGGACAGTAGGGATTTATGTAAACTATATGCCGCCGCCCCCCCTCTGCTAATAAATGGCGGTAGGCATAGCAAACATTTGCTAACAGTACAGTAGCCTAACCCTGACACTTTCAGTTCTCAGGAAGAAGCTGTTCAAATATAACAGTCCATGGACTGGCATCATTTGGATGAATGGATGGGAAAATAATATGGCCTTGAACAGATTTAAAGGGTTGGTTGAGTTACAGGAAAGAGTTGTTTTGTTTGGTCTTATGAAGTTCCAGAGTACTACTGATTGAAAAGAACTTTTACCAAATGATTTGCGGTTACCATTGCCCTTGGGAAGCGTGCCTGGTGTTTTGAGTTTGCTGAAGTTGAGGTTCATGTTACTGGTCGAAAGGACAGAAGGCTGAAAAGTGGCAGTCCCAGATGAAGACGCTCGGGGTGATTTTCTGGTGTTTGTATTGAAGTCCAAGTTCATATTTTTGGTGCTGAAAACTGTTGGTTTAAATGTCACTGGTGTTTTAGTTTTCAGCACTGCAGCAACAGGTGTTTTGGTTTTTGACACTCCAACAGGTGTTTTGGTTTTTGACACTCCAACAGGCGTCTTCGTCTTCACTGCTTTTGTCCCGGGGGTAACAAACAGTGAGGATTTTGTAGTTGTCTGAAAAAACCCCACAACAAATAGTGTTGTAAACAAGAATCCCAATTTTATAATATGTGCGACCTTCAGAGCGGGTCAGGATAAAATTCAATTTACTTGATAGCAGGAAAGCTTATGTTACAGGCTAAATATCGTAACTCTACATCTGACAGATCTGTGTTGAAAGTTCTGATTTTTATCTATTTTACTAAAGGAACTTTCGAAGTTAGTCAAAGTAATTTATTCAAATGAACGAATGTTTTATCCCTGCACACTGTAGGCTTCAAGTTACTACATTTTTGTATTGTGTTGCTCCATGCTGTTTGGATATTTAGACCAAAGCCTGTATTCAAGAAACTATTCTCATACTCAAACTTGGATTCTATGCTCAAGGTCGATTTCTTGTTCCGGTGATAAATAAATAAAAACTACACAACTTGTCCGTGATTTGGGAGAACTTTGGAGACTAAAACCACACCTATTTTCAATGTTTACACCTGACATTTTTGTCGTGACGCATGATTTAGTGAGAAGCAAGAACAGAGTTCATGCTTGAACATGAGAACAGTTTACAGGCCGTTGATCATTTGACATTTTATTTAACCCCTGTGACCTTGAAAGTGATGTCAATGCCATTCATTTACACAAAATCTGTATTCGTCTTTTAAGTGTGTTACTGCCAGACACTTTGACCACAATATGAATCCCCATCACATAACAATGCTTCCAGTCTTGGTGAAATTTCATTCAGTAGTTTAGAAGAAGTCACTTGGTGAAATTGTAGACAAATTGCCAATGGATGCAACAGTACAGCATTGGAAAGAAATTTGTATTGTCACTACTTCCAAGACTTGGCAGTGTTCTAACAGCCTTACCTTGAAGGTGTCCTAGCAGCCTTACCTTGAATGCTGTGGGTGTCTTGTGACTCTTTAGTTTACTGATGGCTGCCTTGGTTTCTTCCAGCAATGTCTTTGTCTTTTTGGCTGAGCTGGCAAAGTCATCTTGGCGCCTCCTTTTCTTGCTGAGGTACACATCAATGGACTCCATTTTGTCAAACTCTTTCTTGTGAATTTTTGTCCAGTTCTTATTTCCTGTAGTTTTTTTAAGAATAAAGATCAATCATTTTCCATTCCACGATATATAACATTTAGTTTAAAATCATATAATTTATGTTATAACAATGCATTGTACAAGACAATTTTTTCCTTTTCTGTTGCCATTCTGACATTCAAATTGACAATGAATTCAAACAGACAGCAATTTATAAAACTAATACTGGGTGGTTCATTTTAATAGAATGGTGAGTGCAGAAGACGGAGGGTTTCCTGGACATCGGAAACACAACATGTTCCTTAACTCCATCTTTTTGGTGATAACATACATAAAAAGACAGGATTGATGTTGCTTAGTATGCCTCCGATTGCTTCGGTATTAAATAGTTCTCATTTACAAAGTGCCAAACGCCACAAATGTAATGGACAATCTACACTATTAAGTAGAATAGGAAAACTCACACACAATATTGGTTAAAATAAAAACACTTGCCTGGAGTCAAAGGTTTTTGTTCTTTAGCCTCTTTTCTGGCAGCTAGAAAAGCTGCAAATCGGGGAATACCTGTTTTTTTAACAGGGTCCTTTTCTGATACTGTAAATAAAAAATATTAGGCATAAGTTAGTTGTAAGTCAACATAGTGAACATACAACAATTTTTTTATGCAAGAACTTATTCAAAATGAAAAATATCTACTAGAAACTGTCTGTAAAACATAACAGATCTGATGGAAAATGGGGCTTATAAAACACAAAGAAAATGAGCTAAATGCAAAGTCAAATCAGTAGACAGAACATATTCGTCACAATAACCTACATTTAATATACTAATGCAGTACTTCTCAATGTATCCACACATTCAGTTTCATGTTTGTTTGATTTCTTACATAAGAGTAATGGAACTTAACACAAAGGCGAACCATGATGTAGTGTGGATGGGTTTACCAATAGATGGACAGTTTCCCCTCCTCAAAATATGAAATGAGCTCCTTACATTCACTAAAAATCACTATCAGGAGATCACAGTATGGATCTATTGAATTTCATGGTGTTAGGTCATACTTCTCACAGATCAGAATGAATCTATTGAATTTCATGGTGTTAGGTCATACTTTTCAGCACACAAGATCTGGATGTTTGTATAAAATAACAGAAAAGGTCCCCTCCTAAACTATGTGGGGAGGGCATACATATTGCTTTGTTATTAATGGTGTTGTGTCCCCATAGAGGTGAAGAGACAGGGCCTGGTAGGGGAAATGGGAATAAATCTTAAAAGAGTACTTTTTAGGGTCAGGTAAGTTCATTCAACATAGAGGGCCTGTATTTCCCACCTGGATATTAACAATATTGACAAAGCATTCTTCTTAAAAACTATAAGGAGGGCCAGTCCCTGCAGCATATGTGTATTCATTCTTTGTAGCCAATTTAGAATTCCCACAACCTAAAGGATTCTTAATGTCAATTTTTGACAAATTCCTATTCAGAGGTTGAGAAGAAGGAATTGTTGACAGAGAAATGCCACAATCCAGCATAAACTCACCTTGGTCTTTCAGATGAGAGGGGCTAAGATAACATGAATTCAAACTTTCTAAGTATCCAATTTGAATGACTTTAGGTTATGAAACATCAATTAAACTAAGGTTACAACCTGAGGTTTTCTGAAAGTTTAAACTCTTGTGTAAGACTACCCTATCCTCCACATCAATAAAACAAGTTTCCCTAGAATATGTGACATTTAATCTTATGCCTGATATGTAAATTTTAAGTGTAAGTTACCATGTATATCATGTTATAACATATCACCTTTCTTTTGCACTTTTTTATCAATGGCTGACAGCAGCTTCTCCTTCATCTCAGCACTGCCCATGTTTTCTGTGAGAGCTCCAAGCATCTCCTGCGCCCCTGGGCTCCCTGATTTCCGTTCCTCTACCGACTTCTTTTCAAATGTACTTCTCCGTGTGCAGCACTGGTTCTCTGTCGGCTCATCTGGCAAAGGAACAATCTCAAACGTACTGCGCCTCTTTTTTGCCTCCTGTGGTGTTCTTTTCTGAAATGAGATATTATGAATACTGAAAATAGTGAATGAAATGTTTAACCTATATAAGATAAACAATTTTAGTAAAGTGGCAATGATTTATATGGTTCCTGACCGCCAATGGTAAAATAAGCCATGTGTTATCTCAAGGCTAGATATCTTCGCACGACCTCCACACTATAAGTTTCATATACAGCTCTCAAGTCCTTGAGGGAGTAGAAACAGACTTATCTGATTGGAATGTGTACATGTCCAAATTCTGTTAAAATCTTTTTTGACAGCCATCCTGGACTTATACCTAGACTTTAAGAAAAAGCTGGCAATGGGAGAAATGACAACAAGCTATGATATATTCTCAGAGGGGAAGATGAACAAATAATTGTTACTGGACTCTTATCAATTCTACAGATTTGATGTCGATATTTTCTGTACAAGACTTCAATATTGGTGATTGTAAACATGTACTCATTTTTCTGGGCTGCTTTTTTATAAAACGTGGCTTTCTAATTAAGAATGAGTACCTTTCTGATTTAAATTAGAGCGTTTCTGACTTGAATAAGGAATTCAGCTTGGTCCGTATAAAACATTTTTGATATTCAGATTTTTTACCAAAATCCTAAGACACAAAAAAACTTAACTGATTTTTTCTTTCTTTCAATTTTAGGTTTTTGGTCACAATATCATTGATATTTGATATCCAATTTGAATGGCTACTTAAACAATGTACATGAGTACCGGGCATTACCTGGTTTGACATGCGCTTTACAGATGCTTGCGTTTTAGGCTTGTTCGGTGTGGCCGACTTCAATGCAGATTTCGGTGTTGACAGTTTTGGAGTGGTTAGCTTTGGTTTTGGTGTGAGGACTTTGGGTGTGGCAATTCTTGGTGCGACATTCTTAGGTGTTACAACTTTTGTTGTTGCGGACTTGACCTTGTTGATTTGTGGGGTTAATGCTTTCGGAGTCCTTGTCGGTGTATTAAAGGGTCTGGGAGTTCCTTTAGGTGTAATACAAGGTTTGGTTGTGGCGAGACTTTTCCTGACCAAAGGAGATAATACACTAGGTTGTTTTGACCCAAGAAGTCCTGGCCTTACAGTCTTCACACTGGCTGGAGCGGTAGGTTTGGTATCCTTAATCACTGGTACAGCTTTTGATTTCATCACCTTCTCTTTTTTCTACAAAATGTGAATATATTGGGTTTGATACAAGCTATATAAAGCGTAAAGAGAAAATTTCATTAAACCTGATCAATGAATGTACCTGCGCCCTGCGATAACATAATATAAGGACTAAAATGTGTTTTGTATTAATTATGGTATATAACACAGCTTTGTTCGTCTGTTCAAAGCTACATAATGTACATATATGTACCATGCATCTTTGAGACATGTTTGAATGGAATTAAGTTGCATACCATCATTTAGTCTGAACCAATCTTTACAAGATTTTCCTGACTTATAAACTTTTTGGATAATTTCTTAAAAGTTAGGTTCATGGTTGAACACATGCTATATACTATGGTAAAACATCAAAAGTCGAGCTGATAAATCAATAGTTGATGGATACTATATCATGAATATAAAACGACCATACTGAATATAACCCAACCACTGTAAAATAAAGTGAATTTCAGTAAAATTTCAGAGAGGTCAGGTTATAATCAGTATTATTGGGTTTAATTTTTCATTACCATGATATGAGGAAATTCAGTAGTTTAATTTGTAGTCACCAGACATTATTGATTTTTAAGTTGACATGATTTTATGTATACTATAATTCACTTTTTCTTCATTACCCGTCTTCCTGGGCCTTTTTTCCCCTTATTTTCAACCTCATTTGGTTTCTCTTCATCTCCTTGACTTTCTGATGTTTTCTGCAAATGAAATCACAGTGATAAGGGCTAAAAGGGCTGTTTAACTGTATAAATATATATACCTGCATCATTTACTTAAATAAATAAAAATATACAACATTTGATATAGTGCAATATCTAGCTAGATTAAGCCACTCTAAAGCACTTTTGTCATAACTTTGAGCATTTAATGCATCTGTCTTGTTCACCCAAACTAGACATTTTTATGAGAAACAATTTTTACAAAAGATTGTAGTGTCAAGTCATTTCACCCTAAATCCTGTTCGCCCTGAGTTGTTTCACGCTAGGTTGTTTTGCTTTAGAATTATTTAAGGGTGAAACTTTTTCAGACCTGTTTAGTACTGTACATGAAAGTATATGACTACTTTAATCTCATTTAAAGTTTTCATTAGTCTTCCTTGGTCTTTTTTTGTCATAAGACTCGTTGGATCCTTACATTGTCAACAAGATCTGCACATAGCATACACATGAAATTCTTCCAACATCAAGATTATTCATGAAACAATGATTAAATGCAGTAAGTTTTTAATCATTAAAAACATTTAAATTTATATTTATAACTTTAAAATTATATGTATTTGAATTAGGGCAAAACAATCTTGGGCAAACTGGATTAGGGATTTAGAGCGAAACAACCCAGATGGAAAGATTAATCTGGGTCATTTTGTCCCAAAATCCTGTTTGCACTAGAGGTTGTTTGGTCCTTAATGAATATGTATTTTGAAAGATATAAATATTTTGTTACATGTTGTCAATGAATACTAGCCGCTTTTATATTTGTTTCATGTTTATTATTGTGCTACAAGAAGAATGTCATGTAATGATGTATACTGTGTGGAGATCTTGTTGGCCATACCAGTAAGAATGTATGAGTCTGTCTGACAACATAAAATATTTGATATATGTGTACGTGACTCCAAAAGCCTCACTCCATTAATTTAAACAGACTAGAAAATGTTTCCTTTTAAAAGACATTTTTAAGGCAAAGCAAACTACCCTGAAACAACCTTGGGCAAGCAGCATCTTTGGTGTGTCATTCACTGTGTCATGGATGTATTTAGTTTTGGGGTCATATATTTATTCTTATGACACCACTGTATAGCCAGAGGGTACTGACAGCTCACTGAACTTCATGCTGTGTCTACGTGTGTATCATAGTAACCAGCTTCAACATGACAATGACTATATATGTACTATCCATGTCAATTTCATTCAAGCAATTAGCTGTAATCTTAAAACTTTTCTGTAAAGTTTTAATCTCAGATAATAGATGGAGTATAACCTTGTCGTTAGCATCCTGCTGTTTTTCTGTAATCTTGTTCTGGTCCAGTACATGTTCTATAAGGGCATTTCGCAATTTGTCAATCTAAAAAAGCAATGAATATTAATACATCCATTAATATTTTGGCATTGTAGTTACATACAAATACATTTTAATGATCTCAACTAATTTCTTAAAATATATAAACACACGTAACGTAAAATTAGCCGATGCTGTCAGTATTTCTTCACATTCCTAATTTTTCCTTTTTTTATATTATCCACAGGTCAGGTGCTGGACATACTGATGTTATTCACCTAACATTATATTATGATTAGTACAGTGAAATACTGTATAAACGTTATAGGTATTAGTGTGTCCAGCACCTGTGTTTTTATCTCTATGCAATAATTTTATTAACAGTATAGTTACACCAGTTATAAATATAAGGACAGTGCCATTTAATTTTGGACTTGCTTATGTAAGAGGTTTCGATGTTACAGCTACTGTACAGTACTGTAAACAATATTTAATCTGAAACCAAACGATCAGCTGAGAGCGACAGAACAGACGAGGTTGCAATATTTAAACTACACACTCATATATTAGCATCACTACAAACCTTCATGTTGGCTCTGATGCCAAGTGACTTTGCACGTTTCTGCAACTCATTATATTTCAGGGAAAATATCTCTTCTACATCCATTTTTATCAACAATCACAAACCTAAGCTGAAATAAAAATGTCCGCCGAATGTTTGAAAATTTGTTAACTCGGCTCTGATTGGTCAATAGATCGAAACAAGAATGATACATAAAAGCGGGGAGGTAAAATACTAAAACGACAACGACAACAACCGACCTCAACCGGCATTACTGTAGGCCGAAAGCTGTGACTTCGTCAGTTATCGGTTAGATACTATGTTTACTGTTATATAAACTACCAGTGAGTTACAGATGTGTAGAGGATTGTATGTTATGATTAGTTTCTATACGTAATTCATGCTAATTATCATTGTGCAATTTACCACTACTTTGTGTGTCTTGTCAGACCGTGTTCATTGCTGAATAAACATATTTAAAGTAAACGGAACAGAGTCCCATTTATGAACACGGTCAGAATACTGAACCCCATCATTGCCACATCACAACAATGCCAGCTGTAGCCGGCCCTATCACAGACTGCGACTATGTCACGGATGACCTGGATGTCACTATCGTCGCGGCACTCATCACGGCTTACTCCGCTGTACACATACCCAAACGAGAACACGCTGCTAAAGTTGAGAAAGTTAAGCGACCCACGCTCAGTGCCGCAGGATCTAGCGAGGAGTGGGCATATTTCCAATCTCGGTGGTCGGACTTCTGGTCGTGCCACAAAGAAACCAGCTTGGCATTCAGATTATAAAATGTCCAAATAACAATTGACTTGTTTCTACTTGGAACATTTCCTAAGTGTTATATCTGTTGTGCAACTTTTCACGGAGACTCAGTGCTTCATTTTGTTTATTTTAGGACAATTAGTCGGACATTTCTTAATAATTCTCATATTTCACATCAGTCTTTGTTCCTAGGACTAATACGAGTGACCCTATTACTTACGTGTACCAAAGACTTGGGGGAGATAGAGGATTGTATGTTATGATTAGTTTCTATACGTAATTCATGCTAATTATCATTGTGCAATTTACCACTACTTTGTGTGTCTTTTCAGACCGTGTTCATTGCTGAATAAACATATTTAAAGAAACGGAACAGAGTCCCATTTAATGTGGTCACAAACATCAGTGAAAGAAGAAATTCAAAGTGATGTTCCCACAACGGACAAAGTTGACCTTTATAGCACAGGGACCTGAGAATTTAACTATACCTTAACAAATTCTCATGTCCCTGTGCGTTAACGTTATGAGAGCTGCGCGTACTTAAATACCGTCCAACACTACATGTAAATGTTATATCGACCCAAAATACAAATTGTTTTAGAAATATTTTAGATAAGTATAGTCAAAATCAACATCCAGTAAATAGTTATAGTGCTGAAATATCAAAACTGAATGAAACTATAAACAGTCTACAAAGAACATCAATTATATCACTATTCCGTATGTGGTTCGTCTTTCGTCATTACCATATAATTAGGATAAAATCTCACATCACTTCGCGGATACGTGAGATCTGCAAGATATCTCTTAAAAGAAATTTAATCTGTATTCATTTCAATTGATCCTATCTTTAATTCACGTAATTGAAGATCTTTCCAAATGAATGGAGGACATCTCGAATATTGGAAATATGTACAAGAATAAATGTTTTTGGCAAACAAGGTGTCGTAAACCTGGCTGAGCCGGTAAGCCCCGTCTCTGTTTATAACGGGTCCCTGTTTTCTGATCTGGATGGCCTCCTTCACTTGTCGCACTCGCTGGTTGCCCTCGAGCTCTCTGTCCACGATCTAAGCCTGCTTAATTGAAGATATCTGGGGGTTTTGAAAGTTTTTGAATATTAATGAATGATAGATTTTATTATATAAAAAATAAATTAATTGAATTATATTAGGGGAGACTGGTGCAAGTTCGGCGACCCCTGATATTTCTAATATCTATTTACAGGTTTGAGGATTTTAGCAGTTTAGTTGGCTGGGCGGGACGGGAAATTCACACGAAAAAAGTATTTGAAGAATATTTTTTTTGAAGATTGGATTTTGACGTCATAAACGATGCAACTTAAAATATTCCCCGCCAATTTCATGACTTTCCATGTGTTGCATGGACCGAACTTGCCCCAGTATCATGGGTCGAACCTGCCCCAAATTGATATTTTAATTAATTCGTAACAGCAATAAGAAAGTAAACGGTAGGATTTTATGTGTACCATCACGTGAATATAGAATATTGGGTTCGTCATTTTCTTTTTACCCTCACAAAAGTAAAACTTTCTCCTGTTTAGTAATTTTATAGCTGACTTTTCCACACCATTTTTTCCGAGTAAATGTCCAGTCAAGTCATCTGAACTGCTGAGATCCCCGAAGCTGTAAATATTTGCTTAGGACAATTTTAAGATATCAGTGGTGGCCGGACTTACCTCGGGGCTGAACTTGCCCTGGTCTCCCCTTATGTTATTTTATTTTCATTTTTTTTTACTGTTTTCAGTTGGTAGTTTCTCGTTTCCATTGATGTACAAATGTTAGTTGCAGTCCTCGCTAACTTCAACAGATTTCACCGATATGAATGTGAAATCGCGGCTAACCTAAGGGTTCTAAAAACCGATAATCCGAGGAAAATTACAAAGATCAGAGGCACATGAGAAATTTGTACCAGCTTCTTTTGGACCCTAAGCTAAGGTTTTAAGAGTAGGCATAATTTTACACGTTTTAGGGGTTAAGATCAATTTTCGGTAATAATGCCAACCAAAAGATGATAATATATGAGGTGGGTTTTTTTACCGAAAAATAATCTAACCCCTAAAACGTAAAATCACTATGAACACTTTATTTTAAGTTAGGTTCAAATATAGCTGTAATAAATTAGCAGGTCCCTGTGATAAAGATGTGGTTATGTTCCGTGTGTGTGTTGAATTTTGGGTTCCAAAACTTATACAACTTGTGACTGATCTTGTGATGTGTTCTTTTATCTATCTATCTATCTATCTGTAAATACTGCAACGCCCTCTTTCGAGTACTCTGCGCAGCGTGCGCGTCAGTGCAGTTTGTTATTAAAAACGGTGTCCCAATAAGTGCAGGGCTACTGGGCTGGCAGTAGTAAAGTAAAAGAAAGTGGTAGTGATACATTATGTATGTGGTAATTAATTTGTAGACTGTTACGTTTCAGGTTAAAAGATAAAATATTTGAAGGTAAAAACAGGGGTGGCTTGCTAGGGTCTAAGCAAGCTGACAGCGCTAACAGCCGCCTTGAGAGAATCGATAGTATAGGTAAGTATATCAGGAGGTATAGCGGTCCGCTGGACAATGGCTAAGGGAAAGAATGAGTATTTGTAATCGTCTTTTGTTGTTGGTATCTGTCTGTATGAATGTTGATGAGCATTTCTGGAGTATCTCAGTGGATGTTGTATGTATTGCGGCAATAGAATTAATATTAACCAGCTGATATCAATGCCTGGGATCGAAAAAGAAATATCTGCCATTGGTTCATACTTACTTGTACATGCTGTTGGAACCATCTGTGGATTAAGGTTTTTATTTTCCAACATATTAGTTACTCCCTGCTGGCATAGATGTTTCAAACTCCTGGGGTCATTTGGCGTGGATACGCATTGAAACTGCTCATTTAAAATATTAGCCTTGTCAATGTTACCTGTGTAAAGGAGTCCATCTCTTTTTAATGGGACAATACCTTGTGCATCCTTCTTGTTTGATTTTAAAAAGCTGAACAGTTTTTTGGTGTTGCACGGTTGCTTTCACTTACTTGACTCACTTACAGGAGCTTGTTACCCTGTATCAGCCGTCAAGATCACTGCGGTCGGAGTCAGAATCTTTGTGGTGTGTCCCAAAATCTCGTACTGTGACCTACGGAAACAGATGCTTTGGGAGGGTTTCGGCTACGTTGTGGAATAGCTTACCATATGATATTC